AACATTGGTGAATGCCACAAATTCTCCTAAATCACTCGTACGCACAACTTAAGAACAAATCTGTGCGTATGAACGGTTCTTGCATGAGGCCCATTAACCCTTTAGATGCATTAAAATGTAGGTAAACATTATTTTCACAGTGATTAGACGAAAGTTTTTGTATGCTTGTTTTTTAAATTACATAACTGATATTTTATATCTACAAAAGTTAGTATGATTAGAACAAAGAAGAGTATTTTGAATAAATGTTACAAATAGGTGTTTTTATTTTTATTTTATTCTTTTTTTAGGCATGCAAGCTCTTTACTCTTTATTTTTACAAAAGAGAAGATAAATACAAACTTTACTGGCCCAGAGTCTGGCTGAAAGTATGCAGCAGTGCAGATACAATCAGAATAAGAGTCAGATCATTTTTAAATTTAAAACCCTAAAAAGATGTTCTTGGCTGTATTTTGATCTGCAACATAATAAAGGGTCAAGAGTTATTCTGCAGCTGCAGACTTTAGGAGCTTGAATCAGACCAGCTGAGTTTTTTACACGCCTCTTTTAATTCCAGAAAGCACACATGAGCACTGTAAGAGAATATCTCTGTTGGTGACTTCTGATCTGCCAGGGTGAACATCAACACGTTATGTGCTGTTCATCCATTTAGTCGTTCTGTGTTTTGAAAGAGTCAAACAGAAAAGAGACAAGAGAGAGAGCAACTAACATAATAGCTAGGAAGGCAGGAGGAGGAAAATGAAAGCAGCATATTTATTATATGTGTAGCACAACATAAAACCTGTAGTCAGTCTCTTTAGTAAAAATCCCCCCAAAATGTATAAATCCCCCCGCTTTGAAACAGGTTAGCTTGTGTCTGTCTTGGAAGAATCCAAGTCCACAATTTTCTACTTTCAGAAGGAAGAAGACAAAGTGAAGGCCATGCTGTGTGTGAGTATATACTTGTATATACTACATACAGAGGACATCTAGTTTCACAATATTTACCAACAAAGTGAAGTCATTTGTGGAAAGTGAGGATTTTTCCTGGTTCTCACTTTTTTGGTTTTTGCAGCCCTACTGCGCTCTACTAGTTAGATTTAGAGGTATAGTATGAATTAAGTTTTGGTTAAGGTTAGGGTTAGGAATAGACAGTAATAGTTAGAGAAAATAGTAAGGCTAGGCATAAATGCAGTTACAAAAATGAATGGAAGTCAATACAAAGTCCTCAGTTTAATGGAAGTACGTGTGTGTGTGTGTGTGTGTGTGTGTGTGTGTGTGTGTGTGTGTGTGTGTGTG